AATTGCAGGTATAGCAGAAGGGAAACGTCTCTAGCAGAATGGTAAGGACAAACAAAACGGAACCGAAACCTTGCCAGAAGTTTGAGAAGAAGAATAAGTTGATCAGGGTCAAACCCAATACCAGGCCTATGAGCAGAAACTGCACAAATATCGTGCCATATATAATTGGACGTAGCTGGTTGCAGCATCTAGCAGAGCAGATTTCATTTGTCAAATTGCACAAACACGCAAACTTCAAAATTGACAGTCTTACCTGAGAACTAGTTTGTGATCCATTATACAATCGATAAGGTCCTCATAGTTCTCCCTTTCGGTCCTAGTTGGATTCATGCGCAATTTGCGTATGTGATCCTTAAGCACTTCCAAATGGGCGCGAAAGATGAGCGTGAACATTAGCGGATACGTGTCGGACAATTGAGCTTGTAGCACGGCAAAAGACATGGTAAAATACTCGAGTGCACCCATAAGCTGAGCGGGCCATCTCGCCAGTCCAAAAATGGAATGTATATGGCCCAGGGCGAAGTACCGCTTAGCACCATCGACAGGAACGTGGAGCCGGCAAAGCCGCAATAGATGAAAGTATAAATCAGAAAGGCGTAATTGCAACGCGCCACCACAGCGTGTATCTTCTTGCGATCGTCGTCGTTCAGCAAACGCTCATCCAGTCTGTCCAGCAAGATTTTTGTTTGGCTCAGACGTCGTAGGTAACTGCACGTGACAAGCGACTTGGCCGATGCACCGTACACATTAACGGCCAGCTGCAGTGAGGTGAAAAACTCGCCGGGCTCAAAATTGCTGAACTCCCTCACATAGCTGATGACGAACGCGACAGGCAGATAGAACACTCCAAAGAAGTAGGTCACAAATGTCCAGATGAGATACACATACCGACCCTTGCCCGCCTTTGGTGGCAACCAGCCAATTACCCACATGCCTCTATACATGTAGATGCAGCCATCCCTAGAGGCGATTCGCTCCGTGAGCGGCGCTGGTTTTATTAACTTGAATGTCGGGGCCATTGCAATTGCCAAAGACTTTTGTGTTGCGGCTAATACCAGCATGCGGCTTTTATACAAGTATGAAGTGAAACAAGCTGGACAGCTGCTCGATTCTCGCGACTGGCCGTTTGCATGGCTCATATTAAGAATTAATTAAACGTAAATGTTTCAATTGTAAATATTATTATTTCTCTCAAGCAAGTTTGGCTCAATATAATGAATAAGGTATGCTGTTGATATTATTAAATCAACACCAGCGGTCGTCGATTCACACTGCAAATTAATTATTATAAATTTAAAGCTGCACTTTTCAGCTCTTCTATAGATAATAAATGGGGCAAGTTCTAAGAATGGCCATCGGTTGGCAGTGTCTAGTTGATCAACAACCAACTTGACTTGTTGCTTGGAATAAAATTATGTTTTCCGAGAATTTTTAACTATGACAACCAGAATATTTTATACCGCTTACAGAAAAAGCCTTTCAACAGTAAATATTGTTGTTATTTTGTGGATTTTTGCTTTGACATTGCCAATTGAATGGGCTTCTAGGAAAACTGAAAACTAGCAAAAATTTACTTGGAAAATGAAATAAAATAAAGCTGGCGAAGGAAATAGCTTTTAAATTCTTCAGGTATGCTATTTAGCTGGAGAAAATAATATAAGCTGACGATGGGAATAGCTATTGAATTCTTTAGGTATGCTATTTAGCATAAATAAAATAATATTAAAGATTCACGATTTATTTAAGGAAAAGTACGATACTCAAATCTAATAAAGGTCGAACAGGGAGTCTGTAGATAAACGAAAAAGTTACAGCCCATAAGCAATAAATTTCTTACATCAAATTCTATTGTTTCTTTGAATGACAAGCACTTAGGAATTGGATGATAAATAGTTATAATATTAACTAACAAGCTATTGGCAGATTTCAAAAATTTGTTTTAAAGAGAGAAGCTTCAATTCTATATAATCCTTTGTTCAACAATTTGTGCAAAAAATATCAAATCTATTTTTAATGTAACTATTGTCATGTTTGGCTCAGCTCAGTAGCCCAGTCAAGGATTCTCAACTTGGGCTGCACTTATAAAGTCATTAGCTTATTGAGCAGGACAACGCGCTTAGCGTTTGGACTGAAATGTTTGCCGGTGCCCTAGCATAATCGCATTACCCTAAGCTCGTGTCTAGTTGATGCATAGTTGATCAGAATTTGGCATGTCTATCGATTATTTCAGTCAAACAATTCTTTTATAAGTTTCCTTTTTGCTTTTCTTTTACCTTGCAGCCTTCCACCTGTACTCGAACCGTACCGAGGAACGCGTCGAGCACGATACGCTAGCCGTAAAATACGAGGATGGCAGATGGTCAAAGCCATATTACGACTGCGGCGGTGGCAACATTTGGATGCTAACGTACACGGTGCCATTCTTTGGCTATGAGAATGGCAGCTATCACTTCAAGTAAGTAACAGCAGAAAAGTCAAAAACAATTGCAATACACAAATCGGAATGTAGATCTCATGGGAAATGATAGCCAAAGTCGGCTGAGTGTGAGTAAATGTGTGTGGGTGTTGCCCATTTTATAAATAATTTACACAAAAAGGATGCAGAAACAAGAAGGAAGGGCTATCTGCAGTAGAACGAAGATAAAATACCCTTCAGGACGTTTATACAAATTGTTTATTTCCCAGCGATTGTTCCTATAAGAACCATAACAAAAGAGTAGTACAATTTTAAACGGTATGTAGATATGCGAAAAGAATAGTGCATCTTCTAGAAACTAAAGATATGTTGAAAAAAAAAATTGATTAATAATAACGAAATCTTTCCCAAAGAAGATGAAGCAGTCATCATATGATAATATCGGACTCTGATAAGATGAATCTTATATATTAGCAGCACAGCCAAACTTATAAATGCCGACATTTTTCATGTTTTTTCTGTTCAAAGCTTCACGAGAACCGGAGTGAAGCATTTATGCTTAACGCATGAATACGTCTCCCGTCGCTCTAGATGCGCATAAAAATTAAATGGTCTAAAAGTTGCCTTTGCTCAGTTCTTCAAGACATTGTTATCGCTCTTATTGTTTTGGCGGGCAGCATTTTTCTGCTGTCAGCTACAGTTGCAGCCACGAATGACAAAATATGAAATGTAATGTCCCTTCCTAGCCAGAGCAGCTGAGCAGTTGAGCCGCGAGTGACCCATTGGCAGCAATAACAATGACTGCCACAGATCTTGCTTCCTATGCTGAACGTGCAGCATCCGGAGTGGCAGGAACTTTGGCGGACAGTTGGAAAAAATTTCAATCACGCACCGGCAAACGGAATACGTTAACATGGACACTATACATACTTATGAAACTTTATGACGTGCTGCCCACACCAACAATCTACTTTTAACAAAATTTTGTAATTTTTTTGTTCGCTTTATTTTCTTTTTGAACATAGTTCTCTTTGGGAAAACTTTCTCAATTGAATGTTATAGCAAAAGTTGGCAAACTGTGGAAAAAGTCAGAATTGAGGACTCAAGGAAGTTACACAATTTAATGAAAATTTCATTGATGTTGGTCCGAGACGGTTGGCCAAATCAATAAATTTGAAACATTTCGCTTTTTTTAAGGGGCCACTCTGGAAATGAAGAGTGCACTTTGAGCATATCTAATTAATTCACTTGGCTGACAGGCGACTGCGACGTGGTGTGAGCAGACAATACAAAAAGCTGTGTTCCTTTCATTAAATTTGTTAAATCAGCTGTAAGTGTCAGTTGCTTTATTATAAATATTTGCAAGCCTAAAAACCCTTAAAGGAACTAAGCACACGGCTTTTACCATAAACAAGGCTATTGCATGGGCAAAACGCCACAACAACAACTAAAACAACTGAAAATACAAATAAAAATGTGTACAAGTGTTCTGAACAGTAATGATCGACCAGGCGATACCCTACACTGATTATATACTACCTAAAATACATTCCAGTTTAATGTGCAGTGGGTTGGATATACGAAATTTGAATATTTTAAATCTGTGTATACAATCTGAGAACCTACATGTAAAAATTTCCCATATACATACAAATAGAAACCAAAACACGATTTAAATAGATTTTGTTAAATAAACCTTATCACGGCTATTGATTCTGTTTAAGATTACATCTTCCTTTATTTTCCTGTTGCAAACAAGCGCACTAAGCCAAAACCCCATGCTACCCATGCGCAATTTAAATAGGGTATAGCAACAACTTGTGCACAATTTACAGCCTGGTTGACTGAAATCGTATAGCCTCACTGAACAGTTAGTAACAACATCAAACAGAGTGTCTCAATGTTGCATCCCCATCAACATAATGACAGCTGAAAGCTATTCTCTTGTTTATGACCAAATTGCGAACATACCGGGCGTGGGCGGTAAGGGATTTGGGTGAAGTGAAGCGAAGTATGTCGGGGTTGGGCAGAACTCTGCCTCTGCACAATTAGCCAGTCGTCGTCGCTGTACGCACTTCCACATCGTTTCATGCATAATTTGTAATTATTGCTTGGCAACGGACAACAACAAATTCCAACGGACAATCTGTTTTTTAGTCTGCATTCTGTGCTTCTAATCTTAGCATTTTCTTTACTTTTCCAGGAACGAATTTAGATGTTAGCAGAATATTTTTAGGAATTTCATACAAAAGTAAAGAGGTTAAACTTGGCATTTGTTCAAATAGCTTTACACTTAATTGATAATTTTTCTAAGTTATGAAAATGTCAAACAATTCGAAACCCTTGTATTTATCGGTTAGCGTTTATTGTGCCGAGGTTTGCATAGCAGATCGATTTATTATTTAACATGTAAGTAAAGAAGTACTTACCCAAAATTTCACATCCGCATGCACGGTTATCGTATAGTCATTTGTAAGTAAGAGGAAGTTAGATACAATGTCCATCACTGAAAGCAAGATAAATAAGAGATTAGAATTAGAGTATGAAAAAGAAGACACATACAAGAGAGAGAAAAAAAAGCAGACATTAAGTTTATTTAGTTTACTTATTAACCATTTAGATCCATTGATTACATTCATGCGAATCACATAGTAAGGCGATTACTAAAACTAAATTTTTTGTTATCCACCGAAGCAAAAACCCTAGGTCTTAAAGTACTTTCATATACAGATGTCCCCACATACAGATATATAACAGATCAATAAACATTTTCCGGACTTTTATTATACCAATCACTTTCGCATGCGTATTATGATCGTGAACAGGGAGTAGGCAAATTTGAGAGTTGAGAAAAATGTGTCCAAGTGAATGCGTAGCATGCCACCAGCCATTGCCGTGCTTCTTTTCAGTGAGCGCTCAACAAACAGCATCAACTTCTTCTTAAAACTCCGATGCTGCGCTGTCCAATTGCAGCTGAATGCCGAATAGTGCAGTTTACCAAACCAGAGCTCACTGTCTGTGCCGTAGTAGCAGATGGGAAAGATTTCCAGCGGAATAGCCAAGGCATAAAATAAAAAATATGTTATACTCATGGGCTCGGTAACAAAAAAGATAAGCCCCGCAATGCTAGTACATATATTCAGCCCAGTCACCGCGAACTGAATCAGCATGGGCAGCGACATGAAGGACTCAATGGTGTGAAAAAGTCTGCAAACAAACAAAGTCAATGAAATAGTGCAGAGGATGCTTTCGAGATGTTACCTACTCCAGCAAACACTTGTGATCGGTTATGCATGCCTCCAGCTGATCCTCAGCGTTCTCAGCATCATCCACTCCCACCTGCTCAAAGCGCACGTAGAGCATCTTAATGTGAGATGAGATCAGGCACAACATTACGGCTGGGAAGCAGTCGTTCGCATAGTTCTGCAGTATTTGAAAGCCAATTCCCATAATCTGATATACGTGGGCGATGTAGAAGTTGCGCGTCGAGTTGACGTAATCAAAGGGAAACCAGGCCGGATACATGAGAGCAGGTTCCGCCTTAAAAATGAATGAAAATTCGGCAAAAACACCAATTGGCAGATAGATGCCAATAACAACATAGAGAATGTTTCTCAGCTGTGTTCTCAACTGACTGTAGATGGCTTTTTCTGGTGCACTCTTGATCCGTAAGTCCAGTTGCTTTAGCAGTTGCTCCATTTGCTCCACCTTTTCAAAGTTATAGGCGTATAAAGCGGTTTTTAGCGAACAGGCCAAGCAGGTGGCAAATGTCGTGAGGTTTAAGATATCATCCGAAAAGTTTTTGTTTCTAAACAGCATTATGCCCAAATGCAATGGATACCAAACGGTTACTATAAGGTTCGACAGGAGACTATAGACGATGTACAGCTGTGGCCATTTCACCTTTTTGTAGGTAACTCCAATTATTTTCCAGACAGTCCAGTGACTCCTGAAGAAACTTAAGCTGTTGATGAGCATGACGTAGTCCTTCTTCGACGTTCTGGTGCTGATTGAGCCATTTGCTGGTGTCTCGATTTCATAATCATTCTAAGTATAATTGTCTTTGAAATTGCCTGTATAATTAAATACTCGTAATTATAGTCATGATAGCGCGTGACCACACCAATTACGATAATTAAAATAATAGTCGTTTGAACTATCATTTATTATTTAAATCCTATAAAGCCGTAGACATATCTGGCAGTTGATTACACGATTTGTTTGGACAATCGCCATTTTCTTACAAAAAAAATAAGACCGGGATGGAACCTAAAACAGTTCGCTTAAAAAACAATAAAAGCTTCAAATAACATTTTAGCGCGATTATAAAAGTTAACGTTGTCTTGTGCTTAATATTTGGAGCTTTGTATTTATTTATTTAATATAAATATATCTTTGCTCTCAGTCATGTACTTTTCATAGCCCTCGGTTGTGGATTCCCCTGGCTGCGGAGGCTTGTAGCAGTAGCAGGGATAAACCTTACGCAGCTCCTCCGGTTCCGGCGTTGAACCAGGCTCCGGTGTAGTGGTAAATCTTATGCGCTGCTTCCCTGTAAGGAAACCAATCGGCCATCAATTATCAACAGTTGAGTCCCTGTGCGCACTTACAGCTCGACTGGTAGTACTGTCTTTGCTGCCAAGTGAGTGGAACCCTTTCTTTTAAGCCCGCGCTTGGTAGGGGACCTATGGTCGCTACCAGCAGAGCGAGCAGTACCAGCAGCTGACTTGTCAACGAGTCGAACAACATTTTGCAGCAATACTGACAAATGAAATTTAACGCTTGTGCAACTTTTGCTAATGGATTCCGTAATTATAACAGTTACAGTCACTTCACGGCCAAGGCGTGCCAAATTTCATTAACCGCGCCAGTTCCTATCGCCGTGTCGCAGCAGCACTTTCAGCTCCAGCTACAGCTGCTCAGTTTGCCACAGGTGGGCGGCAGACAATATTTAATGAAAGTAATCAATTATAAAGAGCAGCAGACATGGCGCACGCCCACGCACATGCCTAGATACGCCATTTAATGCTCAATGACTTTGCACGCTCGATAAATTTCACACATACTACACACACACACAGACACACACACTCGAATACACCGCTTGTAAGCATCAAAAAAGGCAACTGTCTGTCGCTGGCTGGGAGAGCGGAAGCACGGTAACTGCCTGCAATTAGTTGCAACATAAATTTGGCCGCCTAATGGACGGCTGCAGCAAAATTAATGTCGAAATGTTAAAAGTTCGTTTAGTTCATTTAGGTGCACTGCCCCATGCGCCCACATTATGTTGCAGCAGCCACAGCCAAAAACAAAGCTCATTTATTTCTGAAGCTTAAAAACACAGCGTCGAACCTTAGCGAAAAAGGAAATATATAAACAACTAAGTTGAATGAAAAGTTTACTGGGAGCTGCCGAAGTTCAAATACCCTTACAAATACCCATCATCAAATTCTCTTGCTAAATGGTTGTATGAAAATATATACATATATATTTAACAAATATTATAAATTATATTTCTTTTAGAAACTTTTATTTAAAAGATACTCAAAGAAACATCAGACTTGAGAAAGAAAAAATGAACATTTTAAAAGTAAAGAATCTTTGAATTAAATTACTATTATAATTTCGAACACTTCTTATAGGAGTCCAAAAGAAGTTTTTAGTCTAGGTATGATAAATTTTATAATTGTAATTCGTCTGATACTGTCAATGGCAGCTCTATTAAAAATTTAAATAAAATATAAAATCTTACAAGTAACCCAATCAGTTAGGCAAGCAAACAATATAGAATCGAGTTCGCTCTTAAAAAAAAAATAGTTTATAACTAAATCAAATGCTTTAATATAATAATTAAGATGTATAGAGAAGCACTCTATGTGGCCATATATGCTATGTTAGTTACTAATTTAATAGAATATGCCCAATAGAGTACGTTTAATTTTTCTAGACTAACTCATAACATCCCATGTGTAGGGTTATAAAAATGTTGGTGCTCGCCACCAGTGCAGGCTGAAGTTGAACTTGCCAACTGGGTCGTGTTAATAATGGTATGGCTATCAGTATTCCATTAGTTGTGAGACTAGCCGCAAAATTAATTTGTTTACGTCCTGGAAGCAAACTGGCGGCAACCGACTGTAACGAGCCAACGTGGCCAACTTGAAGTCGGGACGGCGGCGAGCAAAGTTTGCTAATTGATTTAATTTATGTATTATGCTGTGCTATATACCATGATAAATGCAGGCGGACAACAATGGGCCATTGTTGGCAAGCAACATTAACTTAATAATATTAAAAATTATTTGGCACTTCGAAGGGCCAGCAAAATGCGCATTAGTTAGGAGCAAGAAAAACAAACAGAGACCAGAACCCCAACCAGACCGTCTCAAGCGACCGACCACCTCAAACTCAACCTCAAACTGGAACTGGAACGCAAATAAGTATAAAGCACAAATCACATTAAGCGCCCGCTGTGAGCGCAGAGAATGGACATGCCGCCAGTGAGCTTGGGCGATGTCCCGTGCGCGTGGACTGCTCAGGCATGCTTGCTGGGGCAATAATTTTATTGGATTTCATTTAAGTTTCGCTTAGCGTGCGCTGTTTGCAACAAATTTACAATATAATGCCAGGGAAACGGAATAGGGTTATGGGTGCAGGGCTGGTATTCAAATAAACCGAGCCTTGTATTTATTTGACTTTTGCAGCAATATGTACAACAAACATTCAGACATTGTAAATATATATTTATATGTTATGTATATATGCAAAGACTGCCAAAGCATAATGAGGCAAACGGAACCGGATGTATCAAATATTGCAATAAGCACGCCTTTGAGTTTGTACAACGTGCATAGACTGTTCGCCAGGGGCCTGTAGATGATCGACAGTAGCTTGTTAGCCGGCGAGCTGTCGAGCTGCAACGTCTGAATATACATGATTATGACTTGGCGATGCCAATGCCGGCGCCCATACCTATATGCAAGTACTTAACTGCTACATGAGTCTGCTCGTTCTCATGCTAGATTTATGCCAGTCATGTGTGTGTGTGTGTGTGTGTTTGTGTGAGTGGGTGGGTGTGTTGTTTTCCCTGTTTGCCCGCAACTAAAGTGGAGATTCGCTCCAATCTAAAAGGATGTCGTTTACATTCCTTGTGCAACTCATATTGCATGTCAACGCACTCATGTAGCCATTTCAACTAAAGTCCACCTGCCGGTTATGCTTAGGGTGCCAATTGTGCTTCAAACTGTAACAACTTGCCATTTGACATTGTATACAATAGTCACAATGTCAATGTCTTGTCCGCAGCCAATTACACGCAACATTGCAGCGTCGACAGCAACGATAACAACAACGACAGCTTATGTCCTTGCCAGCGCATTGGCCTTTTGATCCAGCCGCAACTGCCAAGTGCAGCTGTTTCCAATAGATGAAGACAAAAAACAATAACAAGGCCAAATGGCCAACAAACAACAACAGCAAAAGATTTTCTTCATTCAGTTGGGTTTTCTATTTTTTGTGTATTGAACTCAAGCAATAATTGCAAATTGCTTTGCTATTCAATGCACAGATGAAAAACGAAAATTAATATTTTCTATTCAAGATTGCTCTGTTCTGTGTTAATTGAACAAATAGGAGTCATTCAGTTGACAGTGCTCGACTAGCAGTTACCCTGTGCGACTACTTAGCTGTTACTGACTTTCTGCGATCAGATAAAAATCAACCAAGAATACGTTAGAACAAACTCGATGTATAGACTTTATTCACGGTCGGGGAACAGCAGAAAAAGCCAATAGGAAGATGGCCAAAAAACAATCTTAATACTAATTTATTGCGCAGGTCACTTCCTAAACATTATTTTCCTCCCACTTTATTGGGCTATTTCAAATGTAGACGAACTCAACGTAGCACAACTACTAAATTTGGCATTAGCATGGCCTCGATTCTGCCTGTGCACAATTTTGGGATCAATTTTGGGCATGTGACCGCATATTTAGATGGTTTACCAACAATGTCATCGAGGTGAAAACTGCAAAAGTGAAGCTGATTATGTGCATTAGTTGAGGCAGCACACACGCCTGCCTGACTGTCGTGTGAAGTAGTTTGCCGCACATTTGCAAATAAGTGCGTGCATGGCGTATACGTAACGCGGCAACAAATCCAACCAGGCGAGTTGTTTACAAACTGCGTGCGTGTGTTAAGGAGTGAAAGGGTCTGGCATTTCCCATAGCCAAAATACGCACTACCACCGGCAAAGCAAACTTAATGCACTCGACAACAGCGCACACACACACACAAACAACAATAGAGGGAGCAAGTGTGTGTGTGTGTGTGTGTGTTTGTGTGTGGCAGCGTATGCGTATTAGCTGTCACAATTTTTAAATGGCGCGCACGTGCTGTGCGTGTGTGTCATGTTTTTCTGTTTAAGCTGCAAGAATGCATTTCAGCTGTGCACGTATTCCGTGAGCTGTGCACGTGCTTGGCTAGGCTTAAGTGTTTGTTACACACACACACACACACACACACACACACAGCTCAAGCTTAGTAGCTACCGCATGTATTCATTTACTGCGTCCTGTTCTTGTTTGATAATGTCTAGTCAAATATTTACATGAAATTCACTTTAAGCACTGGCAACAATATAAATATACCCTTTTAAAATGCGCAAATTAAGTGTATTTCAAGTTTCTATGGCCTGTTGCCAGCTGCTACGCTTAAAGCCAACGTTTAATTAGACAATTTTCGAATACGACTACGCTGAGCAAAGCCAGCGACAAGCGCAAGCTGGAAAAACCAATTATGCTAATCAGCTGAACGCTATGGCACAAGTGACCCCATGGCCCAGTAGAGGGCCAAGAACGTAAAAAGATTAATAAAAGCCATGGCATCCGCATTGGTTTTTCTTCAGCAACAAAATTGAAAATCAACAGGCATTTAAATAAAAAGAGAATTGGAAGCGGAAGCGGAAAATCTGGCGACAGCCATTAATTGACAGCTCATTTGTAGGCATTGGGCAACACTTAATCAAAGGCACATCAAGTATACGCCACATCAGCATTGTGACTGCTGCTATTAAAAATGGACAATGTATCCTCTTCACGCAGACGGTGCCAACGGCGGCAAACTAATAAATCAATATAAGCTGCACAAAACTCATTGGGGCACATACCCGGTCTACTCGATAAGCTTATTTTCCGATATCCGTTTACAAATTATCTTCAAAACTGTCAACAACAAAAGCAGCAACAGCAGCAACATCAGCAGCGCTGACAAAACGAAACCACAGCAAATAAAAGGCAAGCAAATAAGAATGGCAATGAGAAAATGATCCTGGTCGTGCGACACACAAAGGCGTTCGGGGATCAACTATAGGAGAATTAACATAATCATTATTATAATGTAATATGGGCATTGTGTAGTTCTGCTACATCCTGCGCCCCGATGCGCCCAGATATCCCTTTTTGCAATCAATAAGTTGTCAGAAACAATCAAATAAATACAAACTGATATGTCAATATTAACTGACAGCCGCATGAAACTCCGGACCTGATACGGCACGGGATCCAGGACCCGGGACCCGCACATTAGGCCTAACTATGTGTGCCACAGAGTGTGCTAAAAAAAAAAAAAAGAAAAGGTCTCCTGATGCGTTGTTCAGACGGGCAGTCGACACGAGACACATTGGGCCTACAAATATTTTTAAATTGCAATTGAAAATTATATTTATATATATGCAAATTTTTTTCATATTGAAGTAGATTCATTGTCAATTTATTCTTTTTTTAATTGAAAGGCAATTGACAAATATATATACAAAATAATAGACATACAAAAACAGGCTGATTAAACTGTTTCAAGCAATATAAAACGCCCAAAGAAAACATTAAAGATAACACATCAATAAACCCGTTCAAATTAATTATTTATCTTGATGATATGGTAACATAAAGCAATCAATCAATAAATACAAATAACCACAATCAAGCCTCATTTTCATGCGTCAATTCGTGCTACAAGAATTTAAAATGAAATTAAACGACCCGCATATATTAAAATACTGTTTAAACGATATTCGTTTGTAAAGAATATTGTGGGAAAATAAGCAGCATACAACTCTTTCAATTACAAAAAAAGATTCGTTGAAAATATGACAAAAATTAAATAAATAAGAAAACAAAAAATGTGTAATAAATAAATAATCATATAGTAGAAAAAATATATATTATCAACGAAACTATATTGGAGCAAAAATATTATATAAAAGGGTTTTTTTTTTTTGTTTTTATAAAATGAAAAAGTAGAATCCACACTTAAAAACACAAACAAACACGGCAGACACTCTTGAAACTTTCAGTTTTTCTCGTATCTTATAAAAGATTATAAAGCAGATGAAACTCATGTCAGCATTAGCTTTACTAATAGCTTTGGTTGTTTGCATAGTTTATTTAATAAAAAATTAACTTTAATAATATATCATTTCGAGCCACTGTGCAAATGTAAACCTTGG